GGTTGGCTTTTTAATTTAAACTTTAGTTAGTAATTTCCAGCCTAATTGACCTGTGGTCAAAGAATGCAGCGCTTTCTATCTCTACTTTGAGGATTCTATTGAAGTTTGTCTTTATAGCCTAATAGGTGATCAATTTTCATAAATGTTTGATGGGCTCTGGCAAAGAAATGAGTATTTTTTTATTTGTATGGTACAAAGTTCAACTATTAAATCAACCTTATTAATTATATTCCATCCTAATAAATGTGTGTCAGGGCTACTATTTAAATATGTCAAAGAGAGAGTGGGTTGCTTTCTCCCCCTTCCACTGGAGTCTTCACTTGAATTTGCCTCACATTAATTTTATCCCAACCTTCTTATTTATTTATTTATTCTTTTTTTTTTTGGTACCAGGAATTGAACTCAGGACCTTGCACTTGCCAGGCAGGTGCTTGTGCCGCTGAGCTGTATCCCCAGCCTATTCATTCCTTTTTTGAGTCAGGGTCTCACTATGTAGTTCAGGCTGATCTTGGGCTCACTATATAGACAAGGCTGGCCTCAAACTCTTGGGGATCTTCCTGCCTCAGGCTCTCAACTGCTGGGATTACAGGTGTGAGTTACCACACCCAGCTCCAACCTTTATTTTTAACCTTTTCATGGCCCTTAGTGTTATGGTTTGTGTCTAGATGTCCCTCCAAAGCCTCATGCAGTCATGATGTGGGGGAGCTTTTTGAAGGTGGCTGAATCTAGAGTGTGTGATTGATTCATAGTGCAGTGCTGGGATTAGGGATGGGTGTTTGCTGGCTCAGTCCACTGACTGGATTGGCACCGCCCTAATCCCAGTAGACTGGATACAGTATAAAGGTCAGAAAGAGGTTTCTCTTTCTCTCCCTTCCTTACTTTTGCTGTCTTCGGCTGCCATGAACTGTTGCTCCTCTGCTATGTGTTACCTTGACTTAGAGCCATCTGAGTATGGACTGAAACCTCTGTAAACTGTGAGCTAAATAAACATCTTCTTCTTTAACTTTTTTCTTTTTTTTTTTTTGTCTTTTTGAGACAGGTCTCACTATGCAGTTCAGGCTGGCCTTCAGCTCACTTTGTAGCCCAGGCTTGTCTCGAGCTTGCAACAATCCTCCTGCCTCAGCCTCCTGAGTGCTGGGATTGCAGGCGTGCGCCACCATGCCCGGCCTTCCCCTTTAACTTTGAGTGTGGGGTATTTTGTCTCAGCAACAGAAAAGTAACTAAGACACCTAGTTTCAAGTTGATTTCTTGTAAACACCATGGAGCTGGGTCTTCATCTTAGTTTACTCTTATCCAGCTTGGAAGTCTTTGCCCTTTGCTAGGAAATGTAATGCATTTATATTCATTATTAACACCAGTGCCCTGGAGCTCACACCCAGAAGAAAGCCTCTCCTCTTCATTTCTCCTCCCCACTGCTCTGTTAGTTTTTCTGTGTGTGTGTGTGTGTGTGTGTGTGTGTGTGTGTGTGTGTGTGTGTGTTGCTGTGGATGGAACCCAGGGCCTCATGCATACTAGGCAAAGCCTCCTCCACTGAGCTCATCCACTTCATTTTTTACATTTTTCCTTTTGAGACAAAGTCTCACTAAGTTGCCCAGACTGGCCTCCAACTTGTGATACCCCTGCCTCAGCCTCTCCAGGAACTGGAATTATAGTCTGTGCCAATGTTCCCAGTGTAAAATTGTTTTGTTTGGAGACAGGGTCTTGTTCTGACATTCAGGCTGACCTCAAACTCCTGGTCCCAAGCAATTCTCCTGCCTCAGCCTCCCTAGTAGCTCAAAGTATAGGTATGATACCACTTGAGAGTGTTTTTTACATTTTGTTCAGTCTGGTAATGAATGATAGTTACAGTTATTCAGACTCTGTGCTGTCCACTCTGAGTCAGTGCTGACACCCAGGCCTTAAACCCAGGCTTATCCCTGACCCCAGCCAGACAGGGCGTAGGCCCCGGCACGTCCTGCGGACCTCGCCAGCCGCACGCCACCATCTGAGCTGGCCTGGGTCTCGTTGCTAAAGTCGCACGCAGCAATGTCATGATCTGGGTGAGTCACAGCATCTTGGTAGAAGCCCTGGTTTTCCCCAGAACGCAGTGGACGGTCCGGTTTGCACACCTGGAGCTCTTTTGTTTTAAGGCAAATGGGTGTTTTCGCTCCTCGGGCTCCAGGTCAGCGCTGCTCAGCTGTCTCCAGGGTCGCCTTCGCTGGGTCCGTAGCCACCTCTTGCCTTCCGCCCCACTTTTCAGAGAGGGTCTCTCTCCCGACCTCCCTGCTGCCACTCATCCCCTGCGTTACCGTTTTTGCCTTTCGCTGCAAAAGGTGCCGTTTTCTCCCTTTCTCACTGTCCACAGTGCCGTTCTCTCTCCTGAGACCCTTCCTAACCCCAGCTGTCCGTGTCTCTCAGGATCAGGTGACAAATGCCCGCGTGGAGCAGGTGGCTCAAAATGGCAGACACGGCTGTGAGTTCCAGGCCAGCCTCAGCCTTTTCCCTTCTGATTGTACCGGCGAAGGGCCTCTTTCTGAATAAAGGCTGCTTCACAGATACCAGGTGTAGGCTCGGTCTTCCTTCTGGGGACCCAGGCCCGGCCCACGCAGCCGGCACATCCTCCCCCCCCCCCCCCCCCCCCCCCCCCCCCCCCCCCCCCCCCCCCCCCCCCCGGCACGTTCGTCACAGCTCGCTGCTGTCGGGCTCCAGCTTGGAGAGGTCAGGTCTCCCCCCAGCTCCTCCCAGAAGCCAGAGGGCTGAGCGCCACCCCATCCCTGGCCCCAGCAGGCTTCTACTCACTGATGCTGCAGGGCAAAGGTAGCGTCCACTCTCGCCGGAGGTCAGAGCCCCGGGACCCATGATAAGCCGAGGTCCCAGCATGCATTCCTCCCGGCAGGGGCCTCGGCCCCTGAGGTATGCTTCCCAGAATGCCTTGCACCACGAAAGCCCTTTTCCTGCCCTGTGTCCTTGAGCAACAGGGGATATTACTCCAGTCTCCTGGCAGACAGGCATCTTTGAGACAAGGACGCTGGTCTAGTTTTCAGACTGGTATAGATTGTAGGTCTCTGCATGAATGAAAAAGTCAGAAGAGGTTCCGAGTATCTTTCCTTTTTTTTTTTTTTAATAAGGTCTCACTATGTAGCCCAGGCTGGCCTTGAACCTGTGGTGAGCTTTCTGCCTCAGCCTCCCTAGTGCTGGGATTATAGGTGTAAGCTGCTATGCCCAGCCAGCCCGTTCTTGCTTTTGTCCCCATCTGTGTCCCTTGTTCCTAACCCCCGCCACCCCTGGGGATGGAACCCAGGTCCTTTGCACCGAGCTACATCCCGACCCTTTTATTATTTTTATTTTGAGACAGAGCCTAAGTTGCTCAGTTGCCCAGACTCATCTTGAACATGCAATCCTCCTGCCTCAGCCTCCCAGAGTGCTGGGTTACAGGAGTGATCTACAAATCTGGCTTCCCCTGAAGGGTCTCTACCTTGGAATCACCTTTCTCCACCTCCTCATAGCAACCTGGCAGCTTCTCCTGCTTCTTGAGCATCTATTTTGGCCCAGGCACTGGGTGCTTTGGGGGCGGAGACAGATGCACAGGTGTCCTGGCTTTTGAGTTGCTGGTGGCTTTGATCTCCCTGTCTCCTGGCTTTAGTGCACGGCCCCCTCACCGTTACCGTTTGTGATGGGTGATGGATAACCTGCTCAGTCCCTGCCACTTTTAAATTTAATTTAATTTTTTTTTTTTTTACTTTTTGGAACAGGATGTCAGGAAGTAGCTAAATTGCCCAGACTTGCAATCCTCCTGCCTCAGCCTCCCCGAGTGCTGGGAGTATAGGCGTGCACCACCACTCCAGCTGGGACTCATGTTAATGGGAAGGACAACCAGGCCATCCGGGCCTGCAGGGATGCTCAGAACTTCCTCTGGGCTCCCTTGTGCAGCTGGCTTCTCTGTATCCATGTTTTTAAGCAGGTGCTGGTGCCAGCCCTGGGGGGCAGCCACGGGATCGGCAAGGCGCTTCCACCAGCAGGGTCAGGGCCCAGCCTCCTGGACTAGGCCCAAAAGCCATTTGCTGGCCAGCGGGCTTTGAGTCAGGCCCAGCTGGGTTTTCCCATCCTTTATTTGCCCGATCCTATTAATAATTAACAGTGCAGTAATGAGAATTGCTGTTAATAGAATCTGCTGCCATCCCCGCGTCTGTTCTCTGCCAAGGGGTTCCCCAAAGGGTTCCTGCCAGGGAACCTGTGACCCCCACAGCCGCCCCTCCCTCCTGGGCCTGAGCCCCATTCCCAGGTACCTGCCCCCCATACTATCTCCTGCTCCTCCCCAAAGCCCCCTGGGTCCCAGGAAGTCCCTGGGGGTGTGCGGCTGCCAGCCCAGCCCAGCCGAGCATGGCCCTGGGCCCCTGGCTGTCCCTGGGGCCGCTGGTCCCGCTTGCCTAGTGGCAGACAGGGCTTTCAGGAGGCTGCTGTGTGCCCACAGGAAGTAACACCCTGGATAAAGCATCCGCCCGCAGCAAGGCGGGGCAAGCAAGGGCGGTCGGGGGCGGGGGGGGAGGGCACCGGTGAGGGGGGGAGCCGCTCCACACACTGCCCAGCCCTAGGAGCCCCCAGAAATCTGGGAAAATGCAGAGTCTGAGGGTCTGCGGTGGCACTAAGGTTATGCGGTCTCCCCAGTGCTGGTGAGGGAGCCCCCAGACTTGAGTAGCAGGGTAGAGGGCTTGGCGGGACGGACGAGGCACTGGGTTCTGCTGAATCGGGCTGCAGCATGCAGTGTCCGGTGAGCCTCACACATCCAGAGAGCCGCTGGCCCCCTACATGTTTGGTCAAGGCTGGGCACTCGGTGCTCAAGAGCTCTGAGGGGCGGTGGATGGGCCATGAATTATAGGTCACTGAAGACTTTCTCTTTGACTTTTTTTTTTTTTAGACAGGGTCTCACTATGTAGCCCAGGCTGGCCTTGAACCCGTGACGATCCTCCTGCCACAGCCTCCTGAGGGCTAGGATTACAAGAGTGTGTCACCATGCTCAGTTCTTTGGTGTATCTTAATTTTTAAATTATCTACAATTAACATGTATTACTTTTAGAAATGGGAAACGTTTTTTATTTTATTTTTTTTTGAGGAACAAATGTTCTCTTGCAGCCGGGCTTGGTTGCACACACCTGTCATCCCAGCACTTGGGAGGCTGAGGTAGGAGGATCACTAGGAATTCAAGCCAGCCTGAAATACATAGAAGTGCACCCTGTCTGAAAAGAAAAGAAAAGAAACGTTCTCTTCTTTTCCCTGGAGCTCCGGCAGGAGGACACTCAGGGAGGATGAGGGTCCGCGTGGATTCTGTCAGCCTTGCTTCAGGGCCTGCGCCAAGGTGGACGGGAGAGGGGTGCCGTAGAGGGACCACCAGCTGGAAAGAAACCCCTTCCTCCCTGTTTGGCCTCACTGGAAAATCCAGAAAGACGGTTGGCAAAGAGCTTTGAGAATGAGCTGGAGTTTTGTTTCTGGGGGCCAGGCAATGGGGAGCCATTGAATGTTCTGAGCTGTGGCTGAGGGAGCAGAGCTCCAGACGGGACCAGGGGTGATTCCCTTGGCCAGGCGGGGAACTCGGCAGGATGATGGCCGCCAGAACCGACTGAGCCTCTGTCCTAGGACGACCTTCCTCATGAGTGCCACAGCCCCAGCACGTGGGTCTTCTCCCCATTCTGCAGATGTGACAGCTGAGGCTGGTGCTGGCCCGGCGGGGCTGGAGATCCAGGTCTCTGTGGCTCCTTAGCTCTGCTAGGAGGGAGGGCAGGAAGGCGAAGGAGCCCTGGAGGACCACCCCAGGCCACCGTGGGACCAGAGATGAAGGAGACAGGTGCCCCGTTCTCACCCAGCCTAACAGCAGTGATAAACACACAGGGCTGGGGTGGGTGTGTGTGTGTGAGAGAGAGAGAGACTGCCGTCTCAGCAGCCAGCAGCTGATCCGATGTGGGGGGTTCTGGGCCCCGGAAGCCGAGAGGGTGAGTCTGCAGGGGCGGCCGGCCACCGAGGAAGGCCCCGGCTGGGTTAGCGTGCAGTGGGTGTGGGGCGTCATGTGAGCAAACCCACAGGCCTCTGCGGGGCGAGGGGTCGGGGTTCCCTTGGAGGCCCAGAAAGGTCTGGTGCTTCAGTGTGGGCAGAAGGGAGACGAGGAGCGGGCAGCAGCGGGGACCAGGCCCAGGTTGCGGCAGGGCCCGGGGCCAGGCGGGCTCCAGTCTCTGTCTCGCGTCCTCTGCGGCTCCAGTTCCTCCCTTGCACCCCTGCGGTGGGCGCGGAGGTGGGGAGGGTCCTCATACCCCGCTGGCAACAGGCACCTTTGTGGCCGCCTTGTGAGACCTGGAAGCTGAGGCCCGGATGGCACATGGTCTGCAGGGGGCCAGAGGGCAGCCCAGGAGGCCCCAGGGAGGAAGACAGGGTTCAAGGCTCTGGCCTCAGTTTCCTTATCTGCAAAATGGGGAGAACAGTAGTCCCTGATGGCCCAGCAAGTGGTGCGAACTGAATAGACAGCGCTGCTGTCAGCCATGCGGGGCTCTCCTGGCCTCATGTGAGGAGCGGCTCATTGTACCCCGTCTGCCCACACCAGGCGCCCCGACCCCCACGGTGGGCCCTGTGAGGCCTGGTGCCCAGGAGGTTCTGGGGCCGCTCACCTGCACCACCTAAAGCATCCTCAGAGATTGGGGGACCGAGCCCTCTTATTTTCACGGAGGCCCAGGTGGAGGGGTGGAGGCCTTGTCCGCGGTTGCACGGCTGGCTCAGAGGTGCAGCCCGTGTCTGCTCCCCGCCCAGCTGCCCGCCTGACGCAGGGGTCCCGGCTCTTGGACTGGTCCTTGTGGTTCTCTGTGCCGACAGCTCAGGGAGATCGAGGGTCCTCCCTCTCCCCGAACCCCCAACCTCACACAGACACCCCTGCTGAGCACACTGCCGGGGAGCCGCCTCAGACAGATGGTGCAGCTGTCCCGTCGGGACTCAGTTTCCCCAGCCCCAGAGGGAGAGGACGGGAGCTCAGGCCCGGGGCAGCGTCTCCGGGAGGCGCAGGAGCCGGTTACTGGCGCGTCCTCCTGCCCGCCGCGCTCGGCCTCCGGGGCCAGCTGTGAGCTGAAGGGTGGCCCGGGGAGGGCTGTTGCCGGGGAAACGCCCTCCCTCCCGGGGAGCCACCGTTAGAAACAGGGACAGAGATGAGAGGAGAGATGGGGCCGGGACGGCGCATCCTGCGGTGGACGGGGACAGACAGACCACACAGGGAGGAGCGGGCCGCAGAGAGGGCACGGCCGGATCGGTCACAGCGTGCGCGGAGACGGGGCGGTGACAGCACAGCCCAGAGATGGGGCCAGCCCGAGGGTGGGGCCCCCAAGGCCCCCAGGAGAAAAGATGAAGTGGGGCCGAGCCCGAGGGGCAACTGTGATACACAGAATGGTAACTGGAGAGGTTTTCGATTCCTTCTGCATTTCCCCGGAAAATGAGTCATCGCTGCATCTCCGGCTTCTCCATCTGCTTAGGGAGACGCGGGGGCTCCTGGCTGAGCGCCCCAGCACTGCCCGCCTTCCCCCCCCCCCCGCCCCCCGCCCTCCCCCTTCTCCTCCTGCACTGGGCAGGCAAAGTGGGGCCGCCGTCCCGAGGGGACCGACGGCGCCGCACTCCGGGTTTCTCATCAGAAGAATCATGTCTGTATCAGCGAGGCCAGGAGGAAGAGAACTTGCTGTCCTCCGGCAGTCGGGCACCCCCAGCCGGGACCCCGGGGATCTTCCTCCCAAGGACAAGGGGCCGGGCTGGGGGAAGGGCACAGGTGGGGGTGCGGGGAGCTGCAGGTCCTGGGCCTCTGGCTGGAGTCTGAAGCCACACCAGCTTTCCCTGGGGCACTGAGCCTCAGTTTCCCCCCTGTGGTTGAGGGCCGGCCGTCTGCCAGGCTTGGGGGGCTTCTCTGGAGTCGGCAGTTTCAAGCCACCCCGTACTCTTGCTTCTCAGGTACAGAGGAGGGACTGAGGCGAAGGGTGGAAACCGGATATGCACAGCTGTGATCCCAGCACTCTGGGAGGCTGAGGCAGGAGGATCACACGTTCAAGCCCAGCCTGGGGCAACTTAGCAACTTAGTGAGACTTGCTCCCTGCTCACTGTGCCACTGGGTGACTCCAACTCCCCACCCCCTCTGTCCTGCAGGAGTGTGCCTTGCCCTGGGGTGCAGGGCCTGAGGGTGCCCCGGTCACTGCCACCCGCAGGACGGCACAGCGGACAAAGCCCGAGCTTCCCTGGGACCTCAGCTTCCTCCCGAGCTGCAGGTGGCGGCGCGTGGGGCTGCAGAAGCCCCTTCTCACCCGGGGGCAGGCACACAAAAAACGAGGGCAAAGCAAAGAGTCCCCCAGTGTAACCAGCCCACCCCAGGGCTCTGAGGAAGGTGAGGCTCAGAAGAGGCAGTAGCCTGGCCGAGGCTGCACAGCCAGCAGGGCTGCCCCAGTCTCTGCGTCTAACTCCAGCATTCAGCTCTGGCTGGCTCCCCACACAGACGCGCCACCCCGTCCGCCCCTTGCCTCCTTCCTGCTCTGGTTCGGGGTCAGCCCCTTCCCAGGGGTCCCTCTGGGGACCCGCAGGGACTCAGGTGCTGGGGCTGCCGGGGTGACCTGACGTTGCTGTGGGCACTGCCCGACTGCGAGGTCCCCGTCACTGTATTTGCCACTCGCCCATGGACGCTGCTCCCAAAGGGTCAGAGCACGGCTGCTCCCCCGTAACACACCTGGACGCTGTGGGTGCTGGGGTCGCCCCACCCCACAGTGCCCCGGCCCTGCCCATGGAACCCCAACACCACCAGGGTCACTCCCCATGAGGCACGCTGGCGACTTCTTGACCTTCACACCTGGAGCAGTCCGGGTATCTTCTATTCATTTACTTATTTTACCGAAGGAGGCATATTTGCTTTCAAAAGGAGTGACGGGGGGCTGGGGATTTAGCTCAGCGGCAAAGCGCCTGCCTGGCAAGCACAAGGTCGTGAGTTCGGTTCCTGGTACCAGAGAAAAACCAAAACCAAAAAAAAAAAAAGAAAAAGAAAGGAGTGACAGGAAACAACAAAACAAAAAGGGTATGTGAGGCGAGGTGATGCACGCCTGTCATCCCAGCACTCGGGAGGCTGAGGCAGGAGGATCGCCATGAGTTCGAGGTCCAGGCCAGCGTGGGCTATGTAGTGAGTTGAAGGCCAGTCTGAACCACATAGTGAGACCCTGATTCAAAAAATCAAAAAAGAAAGCAAATCCGAAGTGGCAGGATAAAACTGCGAGTACCAGGGTGCTCCTGCAGAGACAAGGTGGACAGGAAGCTGAGGGAGGGGCAGGCAGGTTGTTACCTGTCACAGGTGCCAAAGAGCCGTGGGTGGAGCCCCAGGAAGTGACCCAGGGCTCTGACTCTTGCTAGGAAGCCAGGGGGCTTCCAGAAGACAAGGGGAGGGGAAGGACCCCAGGGCTCCAGCAGGGGCTGCGGTGGGCAACCCCAGAGGCTCACAGAGCCAACAGTGGGGGGAGGGGCAGGGCAGCCTCTGCCCTGGCCTCTCCTCCCCAGGGTCCCATCTGAAAACCTGGGGGCCAGAGCTCCTTCACCTGGTCCCTGGAACCCCAATTCTAGTCCATCTCCAAACCCCCTTAGAAGCTATTTGGCCCTGGAGACCCCATCCTTGGACACACGGCTCTGTGTTTGGCCATTTATACCCCAGATGTCTCTGCACCAGGCTAGGGAAGATGCACAGAGCCGTTCTTGGCAATCCTTAGGTGTGGCGGCAGAGACATAATCAGAAATAGTTCCTGCCACCTTGAGGGCTTGGACCCTCAAGGCTCCCCAGGGAGGGCAAGAGCCCTGAGGGGTCACTTGGACTCCCAGCAGAGTTTGCTGGATGCAGGACACACTTTTGTGGTGCTGAGGCACTTCCACCTGGGCTCATCTGTTACTGCAGCGCAGCTGGGCCTTGCTGCCTGATACAAGTGTATTCAGCCCAGGGGAGGCCTGGCCCAGGTCCTGTGGGCCGCTAGGAAAGCCTGTTCCAGTACAGAGGCCCCTGAGAGGCCATGGACGAGTCCCTTGGCTCTTCCCAGCCTCCCTGGCCTTGTGTGTGTGGTGAGATAGGGGATTTTTCTCCTCTGAGCTCATGAGGAGGAAACAGGCTTAGAGGGCCCCGGTCCCTTCCCGGGTCACACCAGCAGCCATGAGCCCTCACTGTCCCCATGCCAGTCACCATTGGGTTCTCATTTACTACAGGTGAATTTAAAGCCCAAAGAGAGAGAGAAAAAAAAAAGACAGACAGACAGACAGACAGACAGCAGGGAAGGAAACTCGGCCCCCACCTCCTCGCTCGCAGCCCCGCACCCTCCTACCTTCTGTCCCTGCTGTGACCGCTCCAGGGCCCTCACGGAAGTGAATCACGCCAGTCTTCCTGTCCCTGGGCCTGTCCTGGGGGTGCAGGTGTCCCCGCCCTCCCCCTCAGGTCAGTAACTTCCGCTGGGCAGCGGGATGTGCTTTGCCTCCGGTTCTGGCTGGGCCCATGAGCAGCACTGCTCCGCAGACCAGTGTCGAGGCCGAGACCTGCTCTGGACTCTTGGCTAGACACCCAGACAGAGAAATGCCACATGGCTGGCCACGTTAATTTTTTATTATTTTATTTTATGTGTGTGTGGTACTGGGGATTGAACCCGGAGCCTTCACGTGGAGCTATAACCCCAGCCCTTTTTATGTTTTACTTTGAGCACAGGGTCTTGCAAAGTAGTCCAGGCTGGCCTTTACCTTGCACTCGTCCTGCCTCAGCCTCCCTAATCGCCGGGATGATGGCAGATGCCACCGCCCCGTTCTGCTGGAGGGCTCCCGTCTCCTGGCAGGTTAATTTGCATTTCCCCAAGGCTCAGCAAGGGGATTCGGTGCTCAAATCCCGGGGCAGCGCAATCCCCAGGACCTCCTTCTGCTGGAGGAGGCAGGGTCCCTCACTCGTGGGGGTGTTGGAGCTGCTGTGTCTCAAGGGCATGACTGCCAGGCAAGTGGGGGCTGCGACCTGTACCCCACTGAGCAGGTGGGGTCCTGGCTGACCCTGGAGCTGCAATCCCCACCCAGGCCTGTGACCAACTGCCTGGGCCAACCCCATTGATGACATCCTCAACCTCCCCTTCCCTCACCCACCCACCCCACTGCCCAGGTCCACCCTCAGTCCCTCCAACCCCCACCCACCACTGCCATCAGCCACAGGCCCCTTGCACCTGCTATCCCTGCCCACAATAGAAGAGCCCCAAGATGGACTGGAGAGGTAGGAAGGTGGGAGTGGGGTGTGGACAGGGACGGGGCACGTGGTGAGGGTCTGAGGGCCTTCTGGTGGGGACAGCGATGGGGAGGACAGCTGGGGACACTTCCAGGGAGCTGGCTCCTAGGACTCCAGCGCCACAGAATCTTGAGGGAGGAAGGGTGGGGGAGGGAAGGGGAGAGACAGCAACACCCCCGAGTCTGTGCCTTCCTCTCACTGCTCTGGCCACCCTTACCCTGGGCTGCTCCCTGGCACCTGTCACTCCAGCTACAGGGAGGCTGAAGCAGGACAACCACAAGTTCACGCCTAGCCTGGGAAACTTAGGGAGACCCAGTCTCAAGATAAATAAAAGGGCTGGGGGTGCAGCTCAGGGCCTGGTCTGCACATGCGTGTGCACACAGCCACACGTACTGCACGGCTGAGCGCACTCTCCGAAGAGCAGGGTATGACAGAGGGTCACAGACAGGACTCCAGAGTCCTGCATCCCCAGGGAACCTCTCTCCGCCAGCCTGTGTCTACACAACGCTGTGACCCTGGCCCTCTCTTCGGGTGAGTCATGTGAGCTTAGGGGACAGCACAC